GGGCGATGTGCGGATACAGTTTCATTTGTACCTTATTACATAATAGCTTGTTGGATTCAAACGGTGCCTCACTGTTATTCATTTGTTCCTGTTATTTTCTCATTGCCAACAACAATAAAGCCAAATGTTTTAGAATACAATATCAGTCAAGAAACACGTTGTAATGGGAAAGTTGAGTGAGCAACATCAAAATTCCTCCAAGCTCTGACACTGTTTAAAGTTCATCGTGGTCAGGAAGAAACGTAATATTAACAACCGATGAAGAACATCAGTTATGGATTATGATTTTATCCCCAAGGATTTGTTAGGAAGCTGTTTTGTTTCTTCACGAGGCATGATTGAACCTACTGCCCCAAAAATGTCTGGGAACGTAAATGTTAGCACCAACACTGACCCAATGTATGCTTCAAATTAGAAGAACTATCTGAAGATTGAAAACATAAGGAGATCAGTCAATTGCAAAACTAAACCTTAGTGTATATATTGAAGCTGTTGTGGTCAAGTTATCAAATTGAGAGTGTAGGTCCTTACACACCGGGAACGATGCAAATATACGACACGAAATTACGAAATATTCGGAGGTGAATTTTGACGCACCTGACAGTGAAAATACATATGGTATGTTGTATCTGAACAGGTTAGCTTACGAGCTAAAGTTACTTGGCACAGATGAAAGTTAAAACAAAGACGTTTAGCAAACTGTTAAAGCACACAAACCATCGTCATATGAGAAATCCAATGCTATGACTCTCCACAAGTTGTCCTTCAGGTCATTATCTTTGTAATACTTGTGTTTTTTAACATAAAACTATAATCCATAGACGTAAGGTAACAACCGAGACCTAATGGTGCTGTGACAGCAACACGATTGAGTTTGAGACAGTGAAAATACATATGGTATGTTGTATCTGAACAGGTTAGCTTACGAGCTAAAGTTACTTAGCACAGATGGAAGTTAAAACAAAGATGTTTAGAAAACTGTTAAAGCACACAAGCTATCCTCATATGAGAAATCCGACACTATGACTCTCCACAAGTTGTCCTTCAGGTCGTTATCTTTGTAATATATTTATATATTTATATATTTTAATCAAAAAGCACTCTGTTCTCCGACATGTAAACAATCAGCCGGTCAGCCATGTTGGATATACCGGTGAATCTGACGTCGCAACAACATGCAATCTGATTTTGAATTTTCTGGCCATAATTTATGGTTTCAGGCATTAAAGGGTTAAACTGATCCCATCGCCTTGTCTGGACGTTAAGTTATCACACTATTGTCTATGCACCACACTTCTCTTATCCGGGAGACACTTGCTTCTGATGCTGTGGTATCACTACAGGTGTCCAACAAACTTTAAGCTTCCTGCAGCCCACCTGCTGTTAGTTGGAGTTTTGTCATTATCCCTGTGATTGGGTCATTTCAGAGGCTAATGTTACTATTACAGCCAGTTTACAGTAAAATTATCACCTGTTAGAGTAATGTCAGGATCTTACTTTCTTCTCAGGGATGCAACAGAGGTTCACTAAAGTTTGAGTTTTTCTCTGTCTGCTTCTTCGTGGCTCTTTCACATGCAGAACATGTTATACTGCTCACTCTTGCATTTGCCATAAAATCTTTGAAAGTAAAACTCTCAAGCTATCCTAGCACGAACTGTTGCTGAATCAGACAGCATGTGAATGTACATGTAGGTGAACAGACATACCAGCCCTCCCTCCACACTGGAAAAATCCTTCTGGCTTCATACAAAACAATAAAATAAAACTGACATGAAGATGGAGTCTTTTTTGATCGATTAGTCACAGTCCTCCTCTCCATCTTCAGAGTCTGAATGTAGTCAGTTCTTGAATCTCAGTCCAAGTCTACAACATGAGCTATAAAAATCAAGACTCAAGTCAGAGTCCCAGACTTAAAGCCATGATTTCCTTCACAAAAAGCATTTCTTACAGTATGAAGATGAACAGTGCTGAAAACCAGCTAAATCAGGCTCAGTCAATTCATTGAAACTAGAATCAGTATTTCCAGACGTGCAGTTTTACAACTGGGTCACATTGTCTGCTGTTGTCATTTTTGATGGAGAAGTTGAAAACATAAATCAAAGACAATCTTTAATCATGTTTCTCTTTGCAAATGTTTGGGCTGTACACAATAGAGATCCTTTAATTTACGTTCCTTCTCTTTCTTGCACAATAAAACCTTGTCTGTTGGTGTTTGCAGACAGAACGCTCAGCAAATTTGTGCTCAGACCGACTCTGCTTACCAGACAAAAAGAACAGTGCCTCCTGAAAGAATGACGGAGGAGACTGTTGGAAGCAAGTAAAAGCTTCTGGTTTTCAGACCGAAGTCAATCTCTCTTTCTGAATCGGTACCAAGCGCCAGGTTTAAGTTTCACACCAGAGCAGAGCCTTTAAAGGCACAGTAAGGAGTTTTCATGTTAGGATAAACTCTGGTGACCCCTTTGGAGACAATTGGTTGTGGGTTTTTTTTGAATAAATACAGCGTTTCTCACAAGTATCAACATCCACAGTCACAAAGATGTGACTCAGTCTTGCTTTTCCTGTGAAGGCAAATTGATGGAACACAGATCTAACTAACTATAACCAAACAAACAGTCATCACTTCTTATCATTCATAGTAATGTTGGGTAGAATGAACAAAATCTTATATCACGGTATGAGTCATTTCATATCACGGTAACAAATATATAACAGTATGATTTTTCTCCCTGTAAATTCAATTAATGGCTTAAAAATAACGATACTGTCGCATTTGTTCATTTTCCTTTTATTTTTAAACTTTAAACTTTGAATACAAATGCAAACAAAATGACAGACCAGTCTGGTGATTTTTTTATCATTTGGTGTACCTTTGGGGAAAGTCTCTGCCAAGATCTTTTGTATGAGAGGAGCTGCTGGAGCTTTAGTTTTTGGTGCAGCGGGTGCGCCACACATCTTTTGGCTCTCATAACAGAGCTTGCCGTGTTTCATCTTTAGGTGGTGGAAGAGGTTGCTGGTGTTTCCTCCTCCAGCAACAACAGCCACACAACACTCTTTGCATAGTATTTTTTTTTTATCATTGTCGGATTTTCTAAATCCAAAGAATCTCCAGACAACTGATGTCCCGACTCGCGCCCTTTTTCAGAAGGAGTGTCTCCTCCTCTTCCTCATGTTGGGTGGGTTGGGCTGCCTCCGTTTGTTCGGTACTGCCATAATCTCTGTGTCCGCCATGACCACCATCAGTGAAGATGTTTCTTCTTCGTCAAAACTATACCAAGCAGTCTGCTGAACCCGCTGGTGATTATACGGAGTGCATCCAAACCTGACGAATCAAACGGAGCGACAACACTACACACTGACTCAGAGAGATGCAGCAGACATCTGGTCTCTCTCTCCGGTATAAACAGTACAGCAAAATTTCTACCAGTCGACACTTTTATACTGTCACATTGTATATACCGTCATACCGCTCAATACTTATTCATAGTATTTCATTTTTACATTGCTTGCAAGTAACAGTTTACAGTGTTTGGTTTGATTTTCTGCGATGTAATGGAAGTGAAGCATGCTTACATCTAAAGATCATAATCAGAAGTTTAAATAAGGGTTTAGACAAAAGCATCCTATAGACCTTTGTTGAGGATCTGCTGGACTGTTAAAGGTGCAAGACCTTAAAAGACTTTTCATTTCTTGGTAGATAAAAGCTGCACCTGCAAAATAAAAAAGAAGAGACAGAGAGAAAATCATGTGTATCGTTTGCCTCCTCTCCATGCGTGCCCCTCAGAGCTGCAGGCCAAGGAGGGACACACGTTGCGAGAATGGTGAGAACAAAAACAATTCTCACCTTGAGATAAACAAGAGGCATCGCCGAGGCCTTGCTCCTTTCCCGCTGTGCTCTGCGAACAGTTCCATGCAGGACAACGAGGAATTCATCCGACAGAGGAGTTCACTCTCTGTCAGTATAAATAAAACACCAGAGCCAATGAGTTCTGACGAAGCAGTGCGTAATGGGATTTGATGTCTGTGGGCGCAGATGAGTTGGAATCGATAGAACAAATAAAAGAGAAACTTGAAACAGAAATGAAGAAAGAAAGAAGTCATAAACTTGTTTGCGTAGTTGCGGAAAAGCTTTGTTCTCTCGCAAAAACACAAAGACATCTGAGAGTTATTTTTGTTTACCAAGCTGTAAATGTCACTCAGACTAAAATAGCTATGCTCTTAGGAATAATTAGAGTTTCTGTTAACTTCATGAAAACCAAATTAATCTCAGCAAATGTAAGAGCAGGTACAGTCTAGTGGTTTGACTCGTGCGATTACCTCTCGAGCGGTTAGCAGACACACCCTGGCATCGCTGGACTGTGCCGTTTCATCTGGATCTAAACTGAGCTGTACCTTTCAAGTCTCAGATCGGCGCAGCTGACGGAAACAAACAAAACCCCTCCTGACAGCTCAAAAGCCTTTCTGTGTCTGTGTGAGGTTAGTGATGCTCCGCCAGCCGACACATCCGAGACGAAACAATTGCTTCATTAGTAAGAGGTGAAATAGTTTCAAAAAAGAGCTCATTCCCTGTGCTGAGGGGAAATTAATGGGCTCCAGATTGTTGCTTCAAGTGAAGTAAATTAAGTTCATGGCTGACAAAATCATTGGGTGATAGAGCTGCTCCTAAGTATTTTATAGGTCTTTGGCATCGCTGAGGGAAAGGGCAGCCTCTGTTATGCATGGATTGACCCCCATTAGAATGTAAAATGATGGAAATTAGTGTAATTGAGGGTGAAGCGCTGGGGAGGTGTCACATCAAAAAGTATAAATCTGATCAAATACACTTCATGTGATTACACTGTCGCTTAGTGTAAAACAATTACAACAGCGTCGGATAGAGAGAACACAGCAGCTTAAAGCCAACAAGTCGTTAAGAGCAACACCATCTCTGTCTTATAGGCCGCTCATTTAGACGTACAGAAACAGTCAGTGCTAAACAACATAAAACCTCAGGGTGCAATTCCATGTATCATAACCATATAGAGCGGAGTGCATTAGCGGAAGGACGCTACAGATGGAGGCATGACAAGGTCCTCATGGAGATCGCCAAGTGGGTGGAGCAGCAGAGGATTAAGGCGATCAACGACCACACCCCACCACCTAATGCCATAGGATTCCTGAGGGACATTTGGTTCTCTTTTCCAGGAGCACTAAAACCATCACTGTGGCAGAACATAACGTGCCCTGGGAGGAGAGGTTAGTCACGTCCCACCATCTGAAAAAAGACAAGTACCAGGGCCTGATTGATGAAGCGGCTCTGAAAGGGTGGCACGCAAACATTTTCCCTATTGAGGTCGGCCGCCGCGGGTTCCCAGCAAAATCGGTGCGCTACTTCCTCCAGAGAGTTGGTTTGGAGTCCAAACAGCTAAAGAAAGCCACCAGGGAAATAGCCACAATGGCAGAGTCCAGCTCAAGATGGTTGTGGCTGAAGAGGGCCCAAAGTTGGAACCTTTCTTCAGGCGAAGGCTAACCGGCCTCCACAACCCTACTCAGGCGAAGTGTACAGGTTAAGGGGCGAAACACCTGTGACCCTGAGATACCTGCTGATGACGCAGAAGGGTTCCCAACAAAACAGGCGAGCATAGGAAAGTATCTAGCATAGCGTAGCATCTCTGATGTTTATTCCACCTTTACTTGACCTTACCTAAACCTATTGGACAGGATTTTGATAGATACTGACTTAGTTGTCTGTAAAACACACAGCAGAGCAATGTCGAGTGTGTGAACAAGACATCAAAATGGTAAAGCAGCAGTATGGAGACTAAATGTGCAACAAAAGAAAAAAAGTCATCGGATAGTTTGTGCAAATTTCAAAGCTACTCTAACCACTTTGAACATTTCAAGAGCTGCCAACTAGTATTACTCAGGTGAAACTTGAACCAACCCTCAGTGTCTGTTACCACAATTGAGCTTGCCATCGATGCCCTCCTTTATTCACTCCCAATCACTCCTCAGGATGTAGTTTGTTTTCTATCTAAAGCTTAAGAAACTTTCCGTGGACACTTCAGGGATTTTTCCACCATTGGCCCTGACATAGTCCTGGTTCCCAGCCCATTCTGCTAATACACTGACTTTTCCCTTCTGCTCTGACGAGTTAAGCTTTGCTTTTTTTTTTCTTTGCAAAACATCTGTTTGTAAAAATTCAGTGAACAAGACTTACTTTTAAGACTCTTTTTTGTCATGTAAAAAGCAGACTGTTTCCCATATGCCAGTGTGACCGGTATATTAGCATAAAAAGCAAACAGAAGTATCATGTTGTGTTCCAGTATTTAACTCAGAAGATAAAAAAGCAAGCTGGATAAAAGACAAGGATGAAACCCGAGCATTAGTTACTTTACAGATTTTTGTGTCATATTTAGCACTCTATCTTAAAGCTTCTGTGATTAACTCTGGGTTTGCGTCATATTTGGTGCACCCTGTGGACAAAGCAGTCTTTGCTTTTCTTAAAGGTGGGGTCAGCAGGATCTGAGGAAGTGACAGTTTTTGGGAGAAATCTTGAATGTAAACACTACCCCTCCCAACCAGTTTTCCCCTCAGCTCCTCCTCTCCCCATCCTCTCTGCTTCAGTAAGCCCCGCCCACAAACAGACGCTCCTGCTTGCAAATATCATTTCAATTAAATTCAGATATAATGCAGATAAATACTTCAGATAATTACAAATGGGGCCCAGTCAACGTGAAAGTAAAAAACATTGGTGCTACTGTAGATGCCAACAGACTACCAGCAAACACAATGTTTGCAGGACTTCTACAACTAGGATAAAGTGACATAGTTCAGGACCCGAGGTAAACAGTTTAGCGACACTACAACACGCAGCAGGTCCCGTTTGACAAGAAACACTTCTGTTACAGACACTTGGCTTACTTTGTTAAAGCGGTTTACCTGTCCAGCAGAAAGGTTACAGGGTCCATAAGATCCCGAAGCGCTGCTGATGTTGACCCGGCTTCTTAGCTCTTGTCCGGTCTACCTCTGTTTTAAGCGCCCGTTATTCCGCCACAGTCTTCGGTATTTACTTTGTTTTATTGCTTGTGTTTTCCATACTTTTCTGGTTGGTTTCTACTGTCCGATGTACGCTAACTTTGTTTGGGCTCATGCACGGTCTTGCAGGATGTGAAATGTGCTTCACAACACGACGGAGCAGCGTCTCCCTCACAACCAATCAGGTTGGGGGAGGCAGAGAACAGCTTTGTTTACAGTCAGAAAGAGTGGGCTGCTCAAAAATTTTAAAATGTTGACTACACAGACAAATGAGACCACAGCAATATCATTATATTACCAAATGTCATCAATAACTAATAGCTAATGACTGAAATTAAAAGCTTTTTTGTGAATTCACCACAAAAAAATACTTCTTTACCGGAATCCTGGCTACCCCACCTTTTAAGTAGTGATTTTTCACAGAAATCTCCTTCTGCTGACTTTTGACAGTCAAATGTATCATTGACACTGAATTTGCCATGAGGAAATAAAGCTGTTTCTGCTACAGCTAGACTGACTCCTACCTCCTCGTACTGATTTGAGACATTAAAAAATTACAATAAAAAGCTATTAATCTGGTCACTAGTGGTTTTGTTTGCTTTGGTTTGATATTAAAAGGCAACAGTATGAATTTTAGTCCGTTTCATAAACACAAAAAACTCCTAATAAGAGCTTTAAGGACAGATCAGGATACTCTGTTGTATTTGTCATCAGTTCAAACTATGCAAATTATCTTAATTACATGAGAAATAGTGAAGCATAAAGTAAATCTTAACAGATAAATCACACATTAGACTTTTTTTTTTGAATGGGAAGCTTGTTTGAATTGGCCTGTCAGTGGGAGAGCAGGGGTTTGTCGCTGTAATGGATGCCAGCGCACTTAACCCCACCATTTTAGACATTAGCTTCTATCCCTGGAACTCCTAAGAGAGCTGCTTCTGGAAACACTTTCAGTACCCGCTCTTCTTATAGCCTCTTCCTCTCTCTTTCTCTCTCTCTCTTTCCCCTCTCATGCTTGGCAGAGAGGAAGATCTTATGATTATACCAGCTTTTGTTTTTTATCCTCTCTGTGCCTGGATAGCTTTGGATTTCTAAGAAGTTCAAGATGTGGTGGAGACACGGCAAGATAGAGAGACAAAGAGAGTGAAGGTGAGAGGGGAAAGAAAAGCAGAGCGGAGAACAAGACTGTTTGAACTGAGAGTGTAATGTAGTCGGGGTGGAATCTGTCACTCAGCTTATTGCATGTTGATGACTCAGGGTAGTTTCAGCTGTAAGCAGCTGCTGATTTATGGACAGTCAGTGAACTCCTGCGGGCGGCGAGGTAGGGAGGAGAGGGAGATCACAGCCCCACAACCGCAACAGGGCCTTCTTTTTCAACAGAGAGACGCTCTGAGTGAGAGAGAGAGGCAGGGTCTGCATTTTTCCCCATCATGCCAGACTGCTTTGCACGGCAATTAGCTGTGTCCTCATTTAGTTTGCCCCGTCCCAAAGGGTAATGAAAGTCATACATCATCTTCAGGGCCTGCTAATTATCCAGCTCAGTTGCAGGTAAGCTTTGTAACCATGAGAAGGCCCTGTCGCCCAGATATTTATTGCTCTTCCAATGAGCGGGTAAAAAATACTCTCTTGAAAGGTTGCCTGTACCCGGCTCCTCACATCCTTGACATACCTTTTTTGCAAATGTGCTAGTCAAAGGGGAAATGTCTTCATTCCACATAAATCATCTCTTCTAGTGCGGCAACAAAATGTCCGGCCAGAGCTGTGCGCAAGTGTTGGAAACCGGAGAACATAAACATCTTGGGGGTCAGCTTGTCTGTGTTGATTTACATGCGGATGGCTAATGGAGGAAACACAAGTGAAATACTGTACTCAGCAACAGTTTGGCGGGGAGACCTTGCCTGCTCCTGCTGTTTCAGTGCCTTTTATTGAGAGACTTGCGTGTTATGATTGTGCAGAGATACTTTACAGTTTCCTTGTCACTCCAGATATAATCTACCCCCAAAAAACTTAAAAAACAGTCATAGAAAGGTTGTTTTGGACTCAAACTTAACAGCCAGACTAACATAGTGTACAGTTGTCTGCGCGCCATATAAAACAGAGGATGTCCAGAAATCCAAATCAATTCACAAAACATCAAATTCTAACTTTTTACAGTGCGATAGACATGTTTTCGTTTAGCAACTGACGTAAAGAAATACAGAATATCTGGAAGTTATTTTGGCTCAAATATCAGCGCTTGTCCAAAGTGTATTTAGTCCTTTCATAGTGTGGAGAGTTTGTGGGAAATATGCAGTTCTTTTAAATGTTGTGAGGCTATTGTTGGCAAATATGTCCAAAAAAACGCCAACTTACTTTACCTTTCAATTTCAAAATGGCTGAAACCAAGCAATTCAGACCCTGATGAAGGCCACAAGCTGAAACGTGTCGGTCGAAAAAAGCTGAATGGTCCTAAAGCTAACCCTAACCAAGCACCTTGGACGTTGGTGACGTTGTGCCAGGGTTTTTGTCCTCTAGTTTTGAAACCAAACAATTAACACTTGTGGTCACATTATGAATAATGAGACTAAGTTTTTAGCTTTGTCCAAAACCAAGAGCTTCACTCGCAGAAGGAGCATCCTGGTGCGTCGTAGTAGCACATGAATGGCTTTCCCATTGTAAGGACTCCTTAAAATAAAACCAACCTTTCCAGGCCTGTGAGGAGTACGTTGGGGCAGTCCTTGTGGCCCATGGAATCCTGAAATTCATGATGCACCAGTTGAATTAAGAAACCACACTTTTAAATTCTATGACATGGTTTTAGCCAGGGCTTTCAATGTAAGTATGTTAATGGTGATAGAATTCAGGTCCAAAATTGGCACAGTACTTTTCTTATGGTGTTCTACTTTGCAGCTTCTTGCCCTAGTTTTCACTTATTTTTTTAACAAACAGCAAAAATAAAATTATACTTTATATTAAAATACAACAGTCATGTTCCCTAGTTCTGCTGTGACCCTCAAGTTTCCTGGGCACTGAGAGCAGGGTTCATTAACCGAAGGGTTCGGACAAGAACAGCTGGTGATGTAAACAACAAACCCTCTGTTGACCAGCTCATATCATTTTGGTCCAGTCTGAGCAGTCTGGAAAGTATACAGCCCTTCATTGGATGCTATCCCTGAATTGGGGAACTGCCTATGTTATGATTTATTATTTCAAACTTGGAGCACAGTCAGATTTAAAGAAAGGACCCTGAGGCTCTAGGTTTTACTTTGCAGCTATATTGTGTGCCCCATGCAAAGGGCGACTCCGACCCACTGCCCTTTGCCAGATTATTCCCAGCTCTCTCCTCCTTGTTTCCTGTGCTAGTTTCCGTCCTATCTGTCTCAATAAAGACATAAAAGCCCCAAATATACTTTAAAAAAAGAACCATTCATGTTCAGTGTGCAGCCCTATAAAGTGGCATTATCTGTGAGTAGTAGATTTGCTATGACTAAGAGTCGCTGGCAGTGGAAGGTG